AGAGAGAGAGAGAGAGAGAGAGAGAGAGAGAGAGAGAGAGAGAGAGAGACAGAGAACAAGCGGCAAAATACAAATGGTAGTCCATTTTACGTGTGTTAACGCAATGCTCCATGATGTGCATCCATAAATTATGTTCGAAATGTGCCAATGGCTGCTCTCTGGCTTCTCTAAATCTATCGCAGGTTGTACAAACAAGACGCATTCATGTACCCCATATTCCTTTCAGTAAAAACATACACACATGCAGATCCGTATGCTTTTTTGCCGCTATTTCAAAGCCCCACCAAATGACGATGCCACGAAATGTGTGGGAGTGGAGAGAGGATACGTAATGGCAATTATATGCATTATTAATGACGTTGCGAATTTTCTAATTCAATTAGTCACCAAACTTGACGAAACTTGATCGCAAAAGAAATATCACCTTTTTGCATTGACACAACTCAGCAGCAGCAGCAGTAGCCGCTTGCTTGTGTTCGGGCCCATTTACGACTTCATCTCATGCTTTGGCTATGAGGAAAATATTGATGATTACAGGCTGTCTTTCGTTCATGCTTCGAAAGGTTAAGTAGGTTATGGGTTTTGTACAAGCAATCACACATTCACATTCTCTATCTATATTTGGCAAACGAATTGACTTACCTTCATTGCCTCCAGGTAGTTTAATCGCATCTCCATCTTCTCGGCGCCATGTTATACTCGGTGGAGGGGATCCAGTGGCTGAAATTTTTTTTTTCAATTTCTTGGTGAGTTAATGTGTGTTTAGCTTGAATATATATCTATTGACTAGATCGAGAGGAGAGTATGTGAAAAAATTCTGATATATTTTGAAAGAGGAGAGTATGATTTCTGTTGATTCTATCTGCGTTAAAAGGAAGTATGTTGGCATTCCGTCTAGCCTCCGCGGTTTTTCACGGTTTCCGCGAAACTGATAAAAGATAACAACATGGTGTCTTCGGCAAAGTTGTAGCACTTGAGGTTTTCTTTAACATTGCTGAAGACATCTATCTCTTATCTCTTATCAGTTGCGCGCAAATCGCGCACATAAAAAAGCAAATTTTATATAGAACTTTTTTTTCTTATCATTTTTCGCGCTTTTCGCGGAACTGATAAGAGATAAGAGATAACTGACTTCGGCAATGTTATAGAAGATCTCGAGTGCTACAACTTTGCCGAAGACAACAAGTTGTTATCTCTTATCAGTTCCGCGGAAACCGTGGAAAACCGCGAGGACCCGCCAAAAATGAACATACTCGCCTTTAACCATTTTTGAGTCGAAAGAAACTTACTCTTCTCTTTCACAACAAAGTCAGATGAACTTACTCTCCTCTCTATCTAGTCAATAGATATTATGTATATATATACCTGAACACTTCAACGTCACATTACTGACTTCCTTTACAACCATGTCATTACTTGTCGGATAGTCCAAAATGTCGGGTGGAACTGAAACGGCACACACGTATCAATACGCAATTATATCGGTAAATTTTTCATTGACTTTTCTTTTCCATCACAAAATTTACTGGTTGCCGTTGACCAACCAGTCAACCAAGCAATTTTCAGCTTTTCAGGTCCATTTTTACCGTCTTTGGAATTTATTAAGTATATCAACACATGCACGTTGCACACACACGAATCGATCAATTCCACATCAAATTAGTGGTCAACGTGTGTATTTGTTATTCGAATGATGACGCAGGCAAATAATGGGACAGGGATTTCTTTCTTTTTTTTTGTTCGCTTTTATTGAGCGCACAAATGTTCAGCATAAATGTGTCATTCACATGCTAACACACTACGTGCAAATAAAAATGATTTCTTCGCTTTTATTTCGGTTGATCATGAAATTAAGCACATTTTGCGTTTAGGCCAACCAAGTGTCTTTCTTTAGTGTATGTTGTGTGTGCGGTGTGTGGTGTGTTGTGTGAATCTTCACGCAGACAACCACAACAAAAACGTGGGCCTCGACAATAAACACGAACCCAAAGTGAAAATTGCATTTGAATTGCCTCCAAATGGAGTGCGTGTTGTAAAGAAAAAGAAGAGAGGAAGAAGAAAAGAATGGAAAAAGAACTGTCGAATATACGACCTTACCGACAACGTCCAAGTAGGCGATCTGGCTTTTCATGGGGTCAGTATTAATTTGACACTAAACGGAAGAGAGAAAAGAGAATAAAAGAATAAAAACCACAATGCTTCGTTCGTTTGTTCGTTGGTTGTCCTATTTCGATCATCTGCTCCTTGTTGCCATATGCATTAAAGGTCAAATCATCAGAACCGACCGACCAACCAACTCTCCGGTTTTCCGCATTTACTCATTTTATAAATCCATTCAAATTTACTTACCATGTACCATCCCTTGTCGGATTCTTTGACATCTCGGATTTTCAATTGCCAGGCCCGTTTCTCTACGTGTGTTACAATCATTCGATGATTTTTCGTAATTACGTGCGTTTGTATGGTCAATATGGTTTGCGTATCAACTCGAAGCCAAGCAATCTTTGAAAAAAAAAACAGAAATAACAAACGACACATCGTCAGAATATAATCACAGCAGAAAAAAAAAAACCAAACACCATAACCACAACTCATCAAATTATATAAGAATGATAAAAATGGCGGAAAATTTGTTTCTCAATGGGTTTTCGAGTGCCTAATTGCGTGTTGACCAAAATTTAACAAAACCTAATGCTCGTAAACAATTCTCATCGTAATTTTCACCCCATCGTTCAACATAATCTATTTTTGTCCTGATTTTTTCGGCTTCTACGTAAGCGCTAGTCGGTTTGTTGTTGACAGTCTCAACATGAGACGTGTTTGGTCAGCACATTTTTACGGCCACCGTTCGAAAAATTGCGTCAATAATGATAAGATAACGTACATTTTCAGATAATTCAATGGCAGCTTAAGTGTGTCGTATCACGAAACAATAAATTTCGATGGAATCGACGGCATCTCGAAGCGCATATATTGTTTCTTAGTTGTCATGTGTCCATGTGTAACCGTAATCCTATGTTTTTTTTCTTTTGTCTATTTCATTTGCTGGCTCAGAAACATTCATGGCTAAAATATAAGTGCAACTATCATTGGTTGAAATATAAGCCGATTAAAATGAGTTTCGTGCTGGTTGCAATCGAAGCGCGAATACACAATTTCCAAAATCAAAACCACAATTAACAGATGCGATAAAATCCGATGACATCAAACACTAATCTGTGGTAAGCTGTTTAGCCAATGCCAATCGCTATCAACATATTCAAAACGGCAATAATTCACACAAAATTAGGAGCATCGATGTGTCGCCTCCGGCAAATGAGAAAAAACTCATTGGTCAATATGCACTTATGGTTCAAACATTTTCAAATGGATTATGCAAATTACATTGAAAAAAAACCCTTTAATTTTATCATTCAATTGACGAGTTTTTTGGTGGTGCAATAGCGTTGTTCACATCGTTAAATGCGAATTTTTGGCCAAAATCGAAACCGAACTCGCAATTAAAATACCGCTCTAAACTTTTTCATATTACATATTAATGTTGTGTTTAATTTAGTGGCATCGAATACCGACAGAATTGATTGAATTTTTCGTCATTTTCATTTGCGTTCAATACACATGGTTGATTGAATCCGTTCAGCCAGGCATCGGTCGGTATGACCTTTTATCATTCTTCTACTGCATTGGCATTTTTGATTATAATACTGTATTGTTTATTCTAGGGGGAAAGAACGACACAAATTCAAAGATAACATGGAAATATTGCCAATGCCTAACTAAACGTGCAAATGCGTGCAAATACGACAAACGAATGCTAAAAGATGTATGCGTATTTGCCATTCATATTCGTGCTCAGCAAGCACTGCTCACTATGAACAAGACGAAGCAACATGAAAACAACAACAATAACATAGAGGATCGCTATGCAAATGCTTGTAAATGGACGTGAATACGGCAAATACGTCAAGTCGTTCTTTCCCCCTAGTGATTATTTAAACAGTTGTATCAATATTTCTGCGGAGAACTGCAATTTTAGTGGAATCAATCAGAATGCGGATACAAAAATTTCATTTTGGCCAACAATCCGGCCATTCTAGGAGCCGCATCAATATATCGTTCATGGGGCTACAAATCGCGAAGCGAGTAAATACACAAAATAAATTGTGTTTAAATTTGCCCGTTACAAAATGAATTCATAATATCGGTGCAACATCAACAAAAATACAGCGTCAAAGTTCAACGTTTGAAAATGAAAAAAGCCACTAGAATCGATTGAATATTTACTTGCTTTCAGCAGCTGAAAAGCGCACAAACGACGAGGAAAATCATTAATGTAATTTAGCTTTGTGTTTGCTGCTGGTGCTTTTCGTGCTTCTCGTGCTGATGTTGTGGCAGCCAAGTGACACACTCACTCGGTATTAATATTTTATTCAAAACGGGGTCAAGTGACTAATTCATCTGCACTCAAAATATGTGTGCACCGCTTTTTGGATTCATTTGATGAAACGGCTTTTAAATCGATTGAATGCATCGTTAAAAAAGTCATCCACAGCCACTTCAATATATACGTGGGAATTTTGCGCAAACATGAATGTTTTTCGTAACTGTGTATTTTTCATTGCATGGACATTGATTTTTTTCTCGCATTCTTCGTTCTTTCTCTCGTTTTTTCTCGCTGTTTTTTCTTTGCTCTTGCACCCTTTTTCTCTGTGCGTCGTTATTTGCATTAGGCAAAAATGCATGCCTTTTGCAAATTGCTATGGAAACGCATTCGTTTCACGGAATGCCATTCTCAAAAGTAATGTGTACGAATGCAGGAGGGAAAAAAAGCAATTATGTAGTCAGCGTCAGTGCAATTTTAATCCGTTTCGGCTCTCCCGGATTTTTCTCGCTGTTTTTCTTTTTCTCTCCTTTTTCATTTGGAGAACACCATTTTTGTACCAGAGCGATTTTTTGAAGCGTTTTCATGTTTCCATGTTTTGCTTGACAGTTTCCTTGTTTTCGTTGCTCTCTTGCACTCGTCTCGCTGACAACCAACCAAAACAACGTGTGTCAACGCTCACAAAAATTGAGAATGAGCCGAGGAGACAGGAATAGTTGTGATGAGACGAGCCGAATGAGAAGGAGAGAGAGAGAGAAAAGTGGAAAGTCGGTTTCATTGCCATTTGCGCGGAATTGTTTCAAAATGCACTCTCATTATGACGATCTGGGGTGGCTATTTTTTTTCCTATTCCGAACCCTTTGCACTTCAAGTTTGTTTGTTCGCATCATGATGTGCAAATGGTAACGGCCGTATTCATTCAATAAAATTCCTTTGCATTGGGACAAATTAAATTTTATTTCATTCGCTTTCATTTGTCTGGGTCTCCTTATTGCCACGTTGCCGACGACAATGACGACAACGACGACGACGGAACAGTTCAAACGAGCAGATTGACAAAGCGTGTGAAATGGAAAATTGAAAGTGTCACACTTCCTGACACATGCAGAGACAACAAATTAGACGTGATTACGCCAAATGTTAATTATTTAAATCCATACACAAAGCGCAAACATTGGTTTTGGCGGGTGGTGGGAGGTAGTGAAAGAGAGAGAGAGAGAGAGAGAGAGAGAGAGAGAGAAGAAGCAGGAAAGAGTGTGAATGAGAATGGGAAAAGACCACATGTCGTTTGAACTTCGACTCTTGCTCCTTTTGTTGCTAGAGCGTGCAAAAATCGTGACGGAAACAAGGGCGCTACTCGCATAAACGTTAAACACATTCAGCCAATTCACACATCCATTCCGTTTTTCGGGGCGCACAATAGCGTAAAAATGTGAATGGCAACATTTTGAACCCATTCAACTCAGTCATCGTTGTCGTCGTTGAGCGTTTTGTTGTTGCCAGTTCATTTCTTTTTCCACCGTTAAGCTTAAAGAAAATGCTCAAAGTGGAAGGTTGTGAAGTAATAATAATTACGCTTGGTTTTTTTCTCCTTTTTTTAAAAAACAAAGAAAAAACAAGCGACAATCAAGTTAATTCCAATGAATTACTTGGATTTTATTGGATATCACAGCGACTTGCTAATAAAATAACTCAACTGAACTTAACATATTAGAACAATACACAAAACAGTTAGTAGAATGGATGTTAAATCGGTGTAATGTAGCAAGAAAACGACAGTGAGAAAGAGAATGAGCGAAAGGAGAAGAAAAAAAAATAATTAAAAATATTTATATTTATATGGCATGATATCTCCGAGGTCTTTCATCCTAATTATATCCCAATGTTTTTGCCATTTCAATGCTTTTGTGTTGCGACAACAACATGCGCAAATAATGTCGCTTATAATTTAGCTCGAGAATGTAGCAGATATATATAAACATGGCAAGCAAGGTCTTAGTTTTTCCGTGCGCATTTTATTTTTATTTGGTGTAAAGAGATATTATTTTCAATATAATGCATGTTCGTTCGAATAGAGAAAGAGGGTTGTGGAAAAGTGCGTCAGGACAGTGAAAATGTAAAAAGAGAATGTTCAGTAATAATCATTTGTTAGTATCAAATACAACGACAAAACACAAGCGAAGAGTAGGAGAGAAGCTTAAGCTCCCTTAACTTGATTGTTTATTGTGTTTTACACGTTTCGAATAAATATCTAAATAAGCGCTTCAACGTATGCATTTTTTTCTTTCTCTCTAGCTATCTTTTACTTCGTCTGTGTACCCAGAAAATGTAATCCAACAATAGCAACGGGAAACTTGCCAATGGTATTGTGTAATTTGATACAAAAGTCAATGCTGTAATGATACGTACACCGAATCCACACATGTGGTTGCCACGAAAACAAGCGAAAAAAAAACACTGGATGGAAATGAAGAAGAAGAAGAAGAAGAAGAAGAAGTGAAGCTTCTCGTATGCACCACGAAAATGGTATTTATGAGGTCGAAATTAGATCCATATTATTAAGTTATTGTGACACAAGCCTAAGCACATCTTTAGCGCTCGCTGTCTGATAAAATGGTGCGTGCGCTGTCTTTTATGTCGCGCGTTTTGGCGTTCAAACGCTCGGCGGATTAGTTTTTGGTGTGATGTAGATGGGAGTTTGGTGGGTGGCTGGCAGGCAATGTAATCGTCGCGTAATGTAGCAATTTGTTCATTTTCACAATGAAAAGTTTTGTGTTTATGTGTCATGTCGAGATTTTAGGTCGAGCCGGCTGTTGCTCGTATCACACTTTCGCTCTCTCTCAATCTCCCATTGTGCTCTCACGAACACACACACACACAAACACACGCGGCAGACGCGACAAAACAAAAGCCAACTCGGATTTATTATCTCACTAAAGGCACTTAAGGCATTATACTTTTTCGGGTGACACGATAATGAAATGTTTTCGCTAAATATGTGTTTATGTTTTATCTCTTTGGCACGATGATATGCGCTAGTCTTTTATAGCATCACCGACCCAAAATCGCATCGTATCACTATGCGCGCTTTATATTCATGGGACAATTTATGTCCACCACG